TTATCCTGTGCTGATGACTAAGTAGCATGAATCCCCCAAAAAAATTGAAATTATTGGGTATTCCCGCTGTGATTTTTGCATATTTAACCATACTTAGAGTAGCACATTTTAACCATCGCGCGTCTGTTTATCAGAGAATTTTCGCTGAATCCTGCATCTATGCATGAAATTATACCAATACAGATCCGTCAGGGGGTGACGAACAACTTACAGTGATGGTCAAATGTTTTGAAAGCAACCTAGAGAATGCTGTTTTTGTGGGTTATTTTTTCCTGTTCCAGCTCAAAAATCTTTGAACCGATCGACGGCCAGTTATTGCAATGGATGAACAATAGACCTTGTAGAAGAGTCAGCTAAAAATAAAGCACCTAATAAGGACACAAGTTAGGCAAGTAAATGTCTCACTGTCGGGATTCGGCATCAGTAAAACACTCGGAATCATTCTTCAAACACGTTGTTGCAAAATAATATCATTTAGATAACTCACTTTCAGAGAGCCAAAGATTCGATCGATTTGCGAGACCAAATCAATTGCATTCACAAAATACTTTGTTACAGAATATGCTCGGTTAACTAGCAGACAAGGCTAGGAACACACAAGACAAACGAAGTGTAAAAGTCTTCCGTGAAACGTAAACGAGACTCAGTATCATTTCAAAGATATTCCATAAGCTAGGAAAACATTTAGAAAACTTTGCTAGTAACATTTGAAACTGCTCACCAAACGCTCTGAGCAGTTGAAATTCCAGAAGTGTCACAATAATGCAACACAGTGGTTGATCTCATCCCAACCGAATCATATAATTATAATTTGACAGAAAGTTAACCAATCCCTCGCTAACAGATTTCAACGCACACACGCGCGGACATGATAACATTAGGAATAGGGATAATATCATTCGAGCACTGTGGATAATGAAAAAAGCGATAGTTGGGAGGGTTGAGAATCGTGTGAAAAATTTAGTTTAAATACATACGAATATTTCATAACTTTCTTACGGACAATTAAAAGAAACAAATGCAACGTGGTGTATAAATGCAAAGGAAAGGAATCTACTTTAGTCGGCATTGCTCGAGTGGGTAAGTGGTCTCAAAAGCCACCTGGGGTTCCTGGGTGCAAAACCTTTGATCGATGTCCATCTTACAAATTTATGTATTTCCCCAAGCAGCTTCTGTGTGGCCACAACTTGCTTCATGAAAGCTTACTGCACATATCTATGAGAAATAACCAGGTAAGTAAGGAGTAAGACATTGATTTTATTTATACTATGTTTAAGAAATCGGGAAATAACCATGGCATAGGATGAGAACGCGCAATGATAAACGTTTATTTGACACTCAGTCATGACTCCGCCTAGAGTATCAACGTGTAAAATAATGAATGTACCTTATCTACAGTGGTTCTTATGTCCTCAATACTAGAAGCGTGGTTGGGAGTAATTGACCACGGTGACACCTAGATAGTAGGTTTGAGGAGTTTTATAGGATGAGTGGAAAATGTACGCCTTGATGATCGGGATAATTGCACAGATCTAAAAAATAATTTAACACATTCTTGCAGTGTGGACAATGTTACTTGGTAAATTAGTTTGAACGTACGACACATTGTTGAATGTGAGCGCCGAAAGAAACGGGTTACGGATAGCATGACTCGATAGTATACCAGTGTTGTTTATGAATGTTGTGGTGTAAATATTAAACACCTGTTTGTAGACAAGCATAATACCAATGCCACAACAATAATAACAATAAAAATAATAGGTTGCAGATGGATTGGGATACAGAACAATGTTGAAAGATGGCTAAAGAGTTAAACAGGGAAAAAGCAGCAGATAGCTAGAATAACCAACTATTTTGTGTGTTTCACTGTATACTTTTGATTTGTTTTGTGTTGTTTGTTGTGGTAGATAAGACAAAATAGTAGCTCACTGATGTATCCAGCATATCTAACGGGGAATGAAAGATCCCAGAGATACTAACTGGCGATTTTGAACTCCGTGCTGACTTTGAAGTTTTGAAGCCTTTTGTTCACAATAAATGGGAAAATTCGTAGAAACATCACAGATGAACACGGAAAATGAAATTCTTGAGCTTCTTTCACATATTTAAGAACGGAACGGGTGATTCATGAAATAGTAATTGCAGTATCAGTGCTTGGTTTACAAGCATACACAAGAATCGGTATTGTTGATACAGTTTTAAGGGGATCAGAAGAACGAAAACTAATTGGACAGAAACGTTTGCATGAAACATCCAGCAGATATGGTGCAGAAAGGATGATAATGGGACGTCAGAAACCCAGTGATCGATTGCGGGTTCATTTGATGGGATGTTATTCAAAAGTGTTTCATAATGTCAATGTGATTCCTGGCATTGTTGGCCTGATTCACTTTGCTCGTTTTGGTCACCAACAGGAAAGTCTGTAATGTTTTCTATTTGAAACTGGGAAATTCTGTTTTATCTTTGGGTCAATGATTTAATATTCCAACATAATTTTGAATAATGTACTAAGATATATGCAATGACTTAACAGGCAAACTCAGTGGTAATTTGCATGGATTAATGACCTAGGGAACCAATACATTGATGACAGGGNGAATCAAGGATGAAGCTACGGACGACGAAGTCCCTTAGAAGAAACCTTCCGAGTAAAAGATGTGAAGGTCTGATTTTCAGCTTTTTATTCGTGTCAGATTCATAAGGGGGAGTGTACATTTGACCTAGTACAGTTGACAGCACACAACAATGGTAACTGGAGATTTGTCAGGGGTGAACGAAAGTCAGACTATGCTAACCTTAACCCATAGCAGCTGAACTCAAATGCATGGTTTCCACTTCATCTCAAACGAACGTATGAGAAGCATATTTCCTATTAGCTGACTGTCATGAAGTTTTGCATGCCAATTCCAGTTACGTGCGGGCATAGCCTAAACACAACAAAAACGTCCGGTCCCGATGAACTGTCCTATCGTACTAGGGTAATGCGCTTATTCTCTAGCAGGGTCATTCACTAGTGTTTTCGACATTTTCTGCGATAAACAAAGGGTTGTCGGCTAATGGAAACCTACGCGGATCACAACGGTCCCAAAAAGGAAGCCGGACACGTTCAACCATTTGCCAGCACTCCCGTATCGCTAACCATTGTCAAAACGGTTGTGTTCTGTAACATTATTCCTTATACTTCGCAGTCTAGTCACTGACAATTCGCCTAACAAAATCAATGCTCCACTTGCTTACTTGGTAAATTCAGTTTTGCAATCCCTACATAGTCATGACAGGATTTGATGTGTATAACATAGGTAGAAGGATGATCAAAGTTACTCTTGATGCTCTGAAAATGACCACCATTGTTTTGCGTTCATTATGAGGGAGAAAGAAACAAGGTCGGCGAGAACGGAGCCAGAGATCACTGCTAGATCCTAGATCTCTAAATAGACCACAGTTGGAAGATTCTATAAAAGCATTTTCTTCGGAAGATCAAAGTACTGGGGCAACGATTGCTAGCCGACCGGGATGAAGTCAGCAAAGATACCACATCTCAGACGATGGGTTTTCTATATCGACGATACCTGAACTGTTCCTTTACCAAAGCACAGAGGTTCCTCAACGCATTTTCCGAAATCAAGTGGCATTTACAAGATGATCAATGGAATGTCATTGTGGTTATCAAACCGTGGCTGTTAGTTGCAATGATTGATTTCGAACTTATTTTCCCANCTGAGATGCGATCCTCATCACAAAGATATTGATTGTAAAACCTACATTGAGAAAGTTTACCCACGATAACGGAAATGTTGGAGAATATAAATCCAAACTGAAATCGACGTGTGTTATTAGCGTTACAACAATCACAATAAAACAACACATGGCGCATCGATTTTTCGATACACTCCCAACATCATTTGGTTCTCATGTGTTAAAAGTGATCAACAAATGCAGGACCATAGATCATACATAGTTGCTAAAAATTGCTTTTCCTACGGCAAACAACTCAATCCGTAGGTCTTCTAGCAGACATTTGTCAAAAGTCTTACAAACTTACTAATTTCAGTGATTGGGACTCCAGAAATTACGAACTTTAGCATCCTAAGTTCATCTTTTTGAAGTAATTCGAGGCAGTGGAAGTTTCTTCTCCTTTCTTCTCATTTTACTTCCTTTTTATTGAATATACAAATATACATTTTTTAGGAAGTGGAAAGCAGCCAATCAAAG